TGAAAATTAAAATCATGAGAGAACTGCAAATTTGGAATTTCCAAGCAAATACATCCTTGTTTTATCTCATTTCTAAGAGTTGTTAGCAGTTTGGAGATTTCCTACAGCTTTATTATACATATATATATATATTTATACATTTAGTCTCATTTGTGCAAAGTAAAAGCAATGCAATGATGTATTTTTAATCTTTTCTGTCATTTTAATCCTCACTGGACAAACTGACAGTGCCTGTGAGGATGGACAGGCCTTGGCACAGATTCCCAGAGCAGCTGTGGCTGCCCCTGGATCCCTGGAGGTGTCCAAGTCCAAGCTGGAGCAGCCTGGCACAGTGGGAGCTGTCCCAGCCGTGGCAGGGCTGGAATGAGATGAGTTTTTAGCTCCATTCCAACCCTAACTCCACTTTTCTGTGTCCTTCTGAACTAGAAATTTCCAATCTGTTGCTTTCACTCTTTCACAAACCCCCTGGAAGGTGACGAGGCAGATTTGGGGTATCCAAATAGCCCAAAGTGGTATTTGGAGAATGGTTTTACCTGCAGGAGGGCTGCTTTAGGCCAGCTACAAGAAGGTTTTTGCACTGAGGGTGGGCAGTAGAATTCCCAGAGAAGCTGTGGCTGCCCCTGGATCCCTGGCAGTGCCCAGGGCCAGGCTGGATCACCCTGGGATAGTGGGAGGTGTCCCTGCCATGGCAGGGGGGGTAGGTGGCCTTTGGAAGGTCTCCTCCAACTCCAGCTCTTCAATGATCCTACACTGGACCACTGGGAGCACAGAGGATTTGCTCAGTAGCTGGAAATCCAGATTCAGATATCCCCAAGCAGCTCAGCCCAGGGAGCTGTGCTGCTCTGGGGCCAGCAGGGCCGGAGGTGGTGGAGGCAGTGGGTCCCAGCTGGTGCTGCCAGGCTGCTCCTCAGGAGCTGCTCCTGGGCCCACTGTGACATTTCAGTGCTTCCTCCACGTCAGGGTTGGGCTGAGAGCTGCTCCTGGCATTCCCACAAGTGGATTAAGGACATCCAGTGTAAATGGAACTCAAAATCCTAAGGGAAGAGAGAGTCTAAACCCCTTTTTTAAATTAGGCATCAAATCCTTTTTAAACCACCCATACCACGGAGTGTTTCTATTTCCATAGCCTGTCCTGTGATGTCACAGAGAAATGACAGATTTCTTGTGAGTAGCACATTTAAGTAATCTTTTCTAACCAAGTGATGGATGTAATATTAATAAATGTCATTGTTTTATAAAGTAGAAACCATGTGAAGTTGCCACCAGCCCCCTGCTCAAATCTACAGCTTGCTTGCAATTACCAGTACTGCTGTATGTATTTTTAAACAAGCTAGAATACTGTGATGATGCTGTAAACTTACCTCTGTAGGAAAAAAAATGTTCTATTTCAAAATGTCAGGATGAAGGATGTAAATGTTCTGAAAGTGCTATCAACAACAACAACAAAAAAAGAATTTCCACAGAATATTCTAAAGGATTCTGTTACATGCTACAAATCTATTTTACAAGGGTATTTATGGATCATACAGCCTAGTCTGTGAGAACAGTACTATTTTATTACAGAATAAATAAATGAATAAATAAGCAGTGACTATCCATGCCCAGAAGCTGGAAAATGTTTGGGTTTTCTTTTAAGTACCCTGATCAATTATTTGGGTAATCTGAAAGACGGAGGACCCTGACAGAAGGAATCCACTCCCCCTCATCTCCCATCCACATCCTGGTGTTGTCAGTGCTGCCAAAGATCTTCAAAATCAGTCGTGGAGAAAAAAAAAAGGACAAAAAGTTGCATGAAAACGATGCAAATGTGGTGTTGATAGGATTAATATCTGTTGTGCCATCATTTAAAGGCAGAGCAGGCAGGAAAGCAGCCCGGGGCAGGCAGGGCTGATCTGCACACACCCAGCGCCTCCCTCAGGGGCACAATCAAAACCACTCTCTGGAAATCACATCCAGGGGTAATAAAATCACAGCTTGAGGAATGCGAGGAGATTGGAAAATGCTTGAAGAATGCAGAGCTGGGAGCACTGCAGCCCTTGCTGGAGGATACTGGATGGTTTGAGCTGCACTCAGCTCAGGGTTTGCTGAGAGCTGGGGGCTGGGGCAGCCCCACAGGGGAACAGCAGCCCTTGTCCTTGGTGCCACCAGCTGAAAACTTTTGTACAAGTTGCCAAAAGGAGTAAATGAGTTCAGCTCCTTCTCTTGGAACCTCATCAAATTGGCTGTGGTAAAAAATAGAACTAAAAAACCACCCGAGTCTCACCACACCCCAACCCTGGGGGGGAATTTCTGAGGAGGCACTGAGGGACCCCAGAGCACTGCAGATATTCCTGTAACTTCAGAGAAAAGGTTCAGGATCAATGGAAGGAGGCCACAGAGGTGCCCTGAGGAAAACCTGAGCATTGGGAGTGCTCAGCTGGAGAAGGGAAGGATGGGGCACAGCTCTGAGCAGGCCCTCAGGACAGGGCAGAATGGTTTTACCTGCAGGAGGGCTGCTTTAGGCCAGCTACAAAAAGGTTTTTGCACTGAGGGTGGCCAGGCCCTGCAGTAGAATTCCCAGAGAAGCTGTGGCTGCCCCTGGATCCCTGGCAGTGCCCCTGGGATAGTGGGAGGTGTCCCTGCCATGGCAGGGGGGGTTAGGTGGCCTTTGGAAGGTCTCCTCCAACTCCAGCTCTTCAATGATCCTACACTAGACCACAAAGGATTTCCTCAGTAGCTGGAAATCCAAATTCAAATATCACAGATTCATGGAATGGTTTGGGTTGGAAGGGACTCAAAGCTCATCCAGTGCCACCCCTGCCATGGGCAAGGCCACCTTCCACCAGGACAGGTCCTTTGTGAATGTCCAGCTTTGTGGCCAGCTCATGTCCAGGGATTTAATGACACCAGAACTTCACTCCCACTCAGAGCTGGGCTAGCAGCCTGCTGGGACTGAGATGGAAGTTTTTCCTGGAGATACAAATTCCCAGAGCCTAAGAGATGGATGGAAAGGAGACAAGGAATGAGGGAGCCTGGAGTGCAGGGTGGTTTTTATAAAGCTAGAGCAAAAGAAAGGGAAAGTTACAGTGCTGCAGTCCATGGGAAACTGATTTTAATGATAGTATGAGGAATGCAAGTTTCTCCAAAGGGTCAGTTATAAAATCCAACAGCCCAGAAGTGGGTATCAGCATACACAGAGCATGACACAACTGAGATGGGAGAAACCTTCTCTGTTAGCACAGAGCTCAGGGCAATGAGCCACCACATCAGCAATCATCCAGAAGATGAAATCATCCAGCTCTGGGTGACATGAAAGCCACAAAGGCAAAGCTGCAGAGCTTTGAAGAGGCAGATTGATTTGTTTCACAGCCACAGCTGCTTTTCCCAAGGAATCCCTCTTGAGCCACCCTGCTCCTTTTATGCCCCAGCAAGCACAAACCAGGCAGCAGATGAGCCAATATTCCTTGACCAGAGTTTTGAGGTTTCTTTGGATCAAAAGAAAAATCTGCTGCTGGAGGGAAGAGCTCCTGGAAGGGAAAAAGGAGGATATATCACCCACCCTCTTTCCCACATCTTCCCTGGCAGAGTTTTGGATCTCTTTTATTGAGCCGAGTTTTGGATCCTGCTCAAAAAGTGCAGGATTAGAAAATAAATTATTTAGGGGATCAGATCATTCATCCCATTGCATATCTCTAAGAGCTGCTAAAGAAAACACTCAGATTTCAGTCTCACTGCTGATAAAAGAATGAAACAACTGTAGTGAGCAGCAGGAAAATGTATCCAACAGCCATCAGCAAAATCTGCTTTGATTTTCCTGAGGAGTTACCTGAGTTCTGTTTGTAACATTTATGCAAACAAACAAGAGCTGTGCAGGCACTGTGTGTGAGCAGGCTGCTGTTCCACAGACAAATACTGTCAGACACATAACCCAAATAACTCACAGTTCAGGATTTACAGAAAGCCTTGACAGCAGCTGCAAAGAAATTTCAGTAGCTCTGGAAAGCTTCTACCTTCTGAAAGCAGAAATATCAACATGTGCATGGAAGTCACTTTTTGTGGGTGTGCAAGGGCTGAAATCTGTGCTACAAAATGACATTTTCCAAGGAGTCAGCTCCTGATCACCTCCTGCATACCTGACAGCCCTTCCAAGGCCCCACTGAAATTCTGGGTGCCTCTCCTGTGTTGGCAGAGCCTTCCAGAGGCTCAGAGAACCAGGGAGTGCAGACCAAAACATGGCAGGAACAGAGGGGGGGCATCCAGGAAGAGACTGGCAGGCAGGAGATTTAAGGGATTTGAACTTTTCCAAGGATCCCAGAGCAACAGGAAGGAACAAGCAGAGTTTATGCATTACCCAGGTGCCCTGCAGGGACAATTCAAAAGGGGATGCTTTGGGGGAGTATTTTTGATGGACTGTTAAAGCTGTCTGCAAGGACAAGCAGCACTGAGCAACTCGGGGCTGGGCTGGGCTCCCACCTGGTGCCTGACCTGCTCAGGATCCACTCCCAGGGAAATCACTCTGAGCAGATTTTTAAGCAGCAGAAGGCAGAACTTTGCTAACACTTCTGTTTATATCCCAGCATTTCCCTCCAGGTTTTCCACTGGTTTGTGGGAAGTGAGAACAAGAGGCTAAACAGCCCTCAAGGACTCTGATAAACAATCCAGAGCACGAGGAGGGAAAGAACCCCATGAAATACAAACCCCATTTCAGCAGTGAGGGTTCTTGTCCCAAAATGGGGGAAGAAAATGCAACAGGGGGATTTAATTCCCTCTGCTTTGGCACAAAAATACAGTGTGGGTTCATAGACAAGGATATTCCTCCAGGATTTCCACAGAAAATGGAAATGAGATGGGAATGCAGAGAAATCAGGAAATGGGAGGCTGAGGAGAGTCAGACCATGGCTGGAGCAAGGGGCTGAGCCCCTGCAGTCAGCTTTGGTCACAAAGGGCTGCAGAGGTGCTCACAGAGCAGCACCAGGCTTTGGAGGCCACAGTGAGGATGATTTCATTGTCTAACCCAAAGATTCCCAGCACAATTCCATTTTATTTGGATGTGTACTGGACCCCCGTCCCACTATTTGAATAACAGTGACTTTGTCATCTTAAAAAATTACAACAAATTCCAAAGTATTTTCTTGCAATTCTTCTCCCAGTTTTCATCTGTTGCCTTTTTTTTTCTCTATCTTATATAGATTCCATGATTAATTTATTATCATTTTTCATCCCATTGGCATCCCCAGTCCTGCTGATTAATTTCTGTTACAACCTCATTATTTCCCTTCTATAAATACTGCATTTCATTTTACTGCTTTTTATAGTTAACTTTGCTTTTTGTCTTCCACCTGGGGCTCTCACTTTCAATTTACCATGAGGCAGTGGGCAAAGCCTGAGCTGAAATGCAGTAATTACACCTCCCTGCCCTGGCAAACGGAATCATTTATTTTCCTTATGGATGGGAGCAGCAGGGAGCTGCTCTGCAATCCCACAGCAATCCCACAAAAAACAATACTTCAGCCTTGCCAGATTAATAATGGAAACTGTTGGCTTCTGGAATTTGAGAAACCTATGGAGATGGATTACAATACACTGCAACATTTGCATCGAGCAAGGAGGAAGGGGTGACTCACAGCCCAGCCAGGCAGACCTGGTTCCACCTGCAGCAATATTAAAGCAGCACCCAATCCATCACTGCCAGAGCAGCTCAGATCCAGAATCATTGGAATTCTGCAGGTGACTGCCCACAGGAGGCTCTCCCAGTTCTTCACCCACTGGAGTTGTGGGTCATTCAGTCTTTCCACTCCTGACCCTTCAGCCTTTGCCACAAATCCCTGGGATCGTCTGAAGGTTTGGGAAAGCTTCTGAGTGCTTCTCCTAGAAGTGTGAGCATGTCCTGAAAAGAGAGCAAACATGGGATTATTCAGGATTGTATTCCTGCCATTTCTCATGGCCTGTAGCACACACCCAGTCCCTCAAGCCCAGCCAGGTGGGCAGCACTCATCCACACATTTTGGTGGGTTTGAAAGGATTCTGGTTAAAAACTCTGACCCAAGGAGCAGGACTTGTCCCTAAGGAGGGACAGGGAAAAGCAGCTGGCCTTGCAGGGAAGCAGGAGGGAAAAGTGGGGAAAAGCAAAGCCTCACCTGAGGCTGAAGGTCTCAAATCTTAGGTAGGAAGTGAGGAACAGTCAAAATTCTGGAGCCTGGAATTACATTAGGGAAGAAAGGAATGTGTGGTACAGCACAAACTCCCAGCCTGCTCATCAACATGGGAAGAGAGCTGGGAGCTGCAGGAAGGCTCCTGCCTTCAGTCTGCCCCTCCCAAGGAGGGAGAGAAGAGCTCTTCCTTCAGGAAGATCCTCCTGGAAACAGCCACAGGAGGCCCAGGGAACTCTGCACATTTCACTGCTCCAGAGGCACTTCCTACCAACAAAGCTTCCATCTCTGGGACACTGGCACAGAGACAGGAATTCCAAGAAGAAATCTCAGAGTATCCCAGAAAAAAATCCCTGTATTCCAGAAGAATCTCAGCCTCCATCACACATTGCAGTGTCCCACTCCAAGATTCCCATGGCAAAGGATGAGCAAGGAAGCCCAGCACGGGCAGTTACCTCCTATCACATAATTTAATTTGCCATTTCAGCTTGGACAGAAAACAAACTGGGAAGACATAATCAAATGGGACCCAAAACCATTCCAGGACATCCTGGCAGTGACCTTCAGCTTCCACAAATCAGGCAGCTCCAATGACTTGAGGAGAACATTGGTCCCAAGCATTTTATTAATGAAATGGACCCAAATTCTATTTTGGTTTGTGCTGATCTCACTGCCATAAATCAGGGAGAATCTGAATTACAGATTCTTTCATTACAGCACCTATAAAATGTAGCATGAATTTTTTTCAACAATATTTGCTTACCCTGGCGTAAAACTGTTCTTCCAATTTCTCTTGGATTAAAGCACCTTCCAGCAGAGTCTTTTTTTGCCTGAGAAAAGCAACCTTGGCCAGCTCTGCTTCCTTCTGCTGGCAGTCAGGACAGGTTGAAACCTCGTGGATTTCAGCCTCTGTCACCTAGAAGAGGAAACTTTCATGCCATGAGCAATGTCTGGCTGGCAACTTTGAGAACAATCAATAAAAATGCACTAAAGACAAAAATTGGCTTTTTAGGCAGTGGTAAAATAATTCAGAGTCACAATTCCATCATCTATAACTGTTCCTGTGCTGGCTGTGTGCAAGGCCTTAAGCAGCAACCAGAGGGGTTATGATTATAAATTATATTTATACATTTTATAAATAAATTAAGAGGCAAATAAACTCTGGAGCCATTAGTTCAAAGATGGAGCTCTGAGGAAGAATCCAGCCCAGACTCTGCAGTTCTGTCTGTAAGATAAGCAGTGCTCCTCAGTGATTCCTGGGTCAGTTTATCCACCAGGAAATCTTAAGCTTATTTAACAGCATTACACAAATCCCAGGGTTTGTGCTTTTATGAAATATCAATGGTTTTATCTGATCTAATTGACTCAGATTCCATCTGGCTCCATAAACACATTCAATTGCTACAAAAGCAGGGGAATCAACCCAAGGAAGTCCCATCCCAGACCTCTCTGACCCCTTTTCCCTGATTTCTCTGGATGAAAATGTTGTTGTGTGGAGCTACAGACAGAACCAAGCAGAAGAGCAGATGAAGTCACTTTTCTCAGGGAATGTATCCCCACAATGGAAGACAAATAAAGAGGAAATAAAAAATTCCACTAAATTTGCAAGGTGGGTTAACATTAACAGAAATTTCAAAAGCAGATGGCTGAAATGTCAAAATTGTTTTAAAAGACAGGAAGCCTGAAATAATTATCACACCAGAACCGACTTTAAAGTGTTATTTTTAGGTGCAGGGCTGAGGGGAGGAGCTGGGGCATAAAACCCATCCTGTCGTGGGAAATAAACCACTGGGCTGGTGACAAAAAAAAAAGAGATTTGAATAGGATAAGGATGAGACAGAGGCTTCTTAAGCAGGGACTGAGGTCAGCAAGATTTTATTGGAACTGCTTTTATCAGTATTATCTAATACCTAAGAAAGCTGGGGGGTTTTGTCTTTGCAATTCTTCTAATCCTGGAGTCAAAAACTTCACAACAATAATATGCAGAATAATTTCATAAATAATTGGGCAAACACAATCAGAGAAAAAGGCTTTTTCCTTCAGCTGATCCAGGGCTTCTTGTAAAATAAATGATGACCCCAGTCTTGCTCAATCACACAAATCAGGATTTAACAGCAGACAATATTTTATGGGGATTATTTGCTACCACCAGTTCTACAGTGATGTCTAAGAAAGGAGAAGTATAAATCTTGGATTGTCAACCCAAAACCTCTTCCAGAGGCCCGAGCCTGGCATCAGTAAGGTCTGCCTGACTTGATCCTGTTATTATGGCTCTTTTCTGCAGTGGTTCTCCCAGAATTTAGGGGAAATGTCCCTTTGTCTCCCCCAGTACCTGTTTCACAGCCTCCCTGGTGTTCTCCAGCAGGATCCTGTTCATCAGCTGGGCAGGAACAGCACAGGAATCTCCTGTCTCAGTTTGCCTTGCTGGGTCTCCCCACTGCAGCCTCCTGCCCTTCCCAGCCTGCTCCTGCTGCATCCTGCTGATCCTGCTGCTGCAGAAGGACCTGAGAGCACCCAGCTCTCCCTGGGAGAGCTCAGCAGCTCCTGCCAGGCAGAAACCAACAGGGCAAGGGCATCACTGGCTGTGCCAGGGACAGAGGAACTGCTGCTCTGGATCTGTGTGACCTCGTGCTGGCCAAGGAGAACCAAAGCCAGGGTCAGGCCCTGCCTGCAGCAACACCGAGCACAACTGGGCACCAATGGGGATGGCAGCTGCAGGAGCCTGCACAGTGAATGGCTCCAAAATCAGAATTTAAACACCAATGGGGATGGCAGCTGCAGGAACCCACACAATAAATGGCTCTAAAATCAGCATTTACACAAATGGGGATGGGAGCTGTAGGAACTTGCACAATACATGGCTCTAAAACAGGCTCCAAAAGCAGAATTTAAACACAAATGAGGATGGGAGCTGTAGGAACTTGCATAATAAAAGGCCCTAAAACAAACTCCAAAATCAGAATTTAAACACAAATGGGGATGGGAGCTGTAGGAACTTGCACAATACATGGCTCTAAAATCAGCATTTACACAAATGGGGATGGGAGCTGTAGGAACTTGCACAATACATGGCTCTAAAACAGGCTCCAAAAGCAGAATTTAAACACAAATGGGGATGGGAGCTGTAGGAACTTGCATAATAAAAGGCCCTGAAACAGACTCCAAAATCAGAATTTACACAAATGTGGATGGGAGCTGTAGGAACCTGCACAATAAATGGCTCTAAAATCAGCATTTACACAAATGGGGATGGGAGCTGTACGAACTTGCACAATAAATGGCTCTAAAACAGGCTCCAAAATCAGAATTTAAACACCAATGGGGATGGGAGCTGTAGGAACTTGTACAATAAATGCATTTACACAAATGGGGATGGGAGCTGTAAGAACTTGCACAATACATGGCTCCAGAATCAGAATTTAAACACAAATGGGGATGGGAGCTGCACGAACCTGCACAATAAATGGCTCTAAAACAGGCTCCAAAATCAGAATTTAATCACAAATGGGGATGGGAGCTGTAGGAACCTGCACAATAAATGGCTCTAAAATCAGCATTTACACAAATGGGGATGGGAGCTGTAAGAACTTGCACCATACATGGCTCCAGAATCAGAATTTAAACACAAATGGGAATGGCAGCTGTAGAAACCTGCACGATAAATGGCTCCAAAATCAGAATTTAAACACAAATGGGGATGGGAGCTGTAGGAACCTGCACAATAAATGGATCTAAAACAGGCTCCAAAAGCAGAATTTAAACACCAATGGGGATGGGAGCTGTAGGAACTTGCACAATAAATGGATCTAAAACAGGCTCCAGAGCTGGGAGGAAATAAAAAGACAAAAGGTTAATGGCACAGGATAAATAGATTAGCAAAGCAAGCAGTTAAATACTATGACATTAAATAAACTGGCTGTCAATAATACAGATTTAGCACCTCACTACCTGAAACTGCAACTTGCTAATCCCAAATTCATTAATATATCAAGAGAGCTCTTAATCAATAACTGTAAGGAGCAATTTGTAAGAAAAATTAGAGGCAGTGTCCACTGAAGCCACTCTGGAAACACCTCCAATAAATTCCACAAAGTAGAGAATTGCTTTTTTTTTTTTTTGAGGAAATGCAATTAGAAAACACTTTTCATCTAAAGCTTCAACAATCATTTCCTAAATTCTTTATAAGATCTTATTTCAAAAATATCATTCCCTCTTTCATCCTCTCTTATCCTTCCCAGTGGCACGTAAAAATAAATAAAACAGAGATTAGACTTCAGCTGGGCGGGTTAGGATGGATTTACAACTTCATTCAGGGCTTTTGGGGAGGTTTTCCAGAGGCTTAGAGCACAATCAGTGCAGTATTTCATGGACAGCAGCACGGGATGGGGCTGGGGACACCACAGCTCTCAAGGTTTCCATGGCCAGATTTCCCCAAAGTCAGGCAGGTGGTGACTCCAAGGTGTGGCCAGTTCAACTCCAAGGATTCACACCCAAATTCCTGCTGGGAGGTTGGATTCTTTCATTTAAACAACCTCTCCATATTCTGTCTTTTCAGGATTAAATTCAATTTCCAGGCAGGTACGTGGCATTCCAGTCCCACAACAGAAATCCTCAAAATACTGAGCAATGGGAATATGAAACTTCTCCCAAACTCCCTGGGATTTATTTGGTCCTGAGTGCCCAGGACACAGTTGTGGAATTCTGCAAAGAAACTGGGCATCTCCTCAGAAATCCAGTGTTTATAAAGGATAAAGGAATCCATAATTGAAACTAAACAAAGCAGGAATTTTGTGGCTTCATGGACAACATAGAAAATATGCTTAAGTGCAACTACCACGGTTCAGAGTTGAGCATCACAGAGCAATTTATTCCTCCTAAGAAGACAAAGCATCAAAATTATTAAAAGGAAAGACAATTTCTAGACATATAAATAAGAATTAGCAACACCTTAAAATGAAATTTAATTTTAAAACATTCTGAGGGAGCATCATAAATATCTGAGTGGAAACCTCCATTTCAGTCATCAGGTGATTTTCCTTACAAGAGTTGTGTAAAAAAGTGGAAATCATGTGCCACTACCAGGTTTAATCACGCTAATAAAATATTCCTGGCAGGTTCATTTATGCTGAACATAGAATGAATAAAAAGATTAAAAAGTTACCATTGTGAGGGGGGAAAAACCCAGAACAAAAGCATTTGAGTACTCAAAGGGAGAAGTAAAACACATCAGGTCCACTGAGCATTTAGTGACAGTTTAATACCAGCCTGAATAACTCACTTAAGGTTCTTCTGACATCCACAAGTGCAATTTTATTAAGAATTGGTTTCTAATAATGCATAAATTCTGTGCTGCCACACACCCACCCATCTGCTCATCTGCACCTCCAGACTTCAGAAGAAACACTGGCAAAGGGAACAGCAATTTTTAAACCTCACTGCACGACTCAGTGCTGGAATTATTTCTTCATATTAACTCATGCTTAACAGGAAGTTCAGAAAGAATACAAATTAGGGATCAAGGACTAGAATTTTTCTAAAATAAACCCCAAAAAATGATGAGAAAAGTCTAAATACTTCAGTTAAAAGATAAACATTCAGACCTCCCCCAGGTGTGGGAGGTTCATCTGCCCAGGGGATCTCAGCTCCTGCTTTGGGGTGGGGTTTATTCCACATCTCTCACAGATTCCCTTTTTTCCAGGTGTGATCCAGACCTGCTGCAATGCTCCTTCTCCAGTGGTGGCAGATCTAAGGGCAGTGCAGAGAATCCCTGCCAGTGCCAATGGGTGCTCCACAAGGACATTTTCCTGATGTTTGCTTGCTCCAAATCCAGTGTTCCCTCTCTTCACTGCAGAGAAGTAAGGTGACAAGAGCAGCCCAAGTGACACCAGCACAGCATCAACCCCAGCCCCATGTCACCCAGCAGGAAGGTCACAAAACGTGGAATGTTTAGGCAGCAAAGCCCCACAAAGTGCACCAGGAAGCTGCTGTGATTCCAGCAGCCCAGGAGAGACAAGCTAATCCTCAAGTCTGCATCCCAAACCCTGCTGAGGGGGGTGGAACTCTGTGACCTGTGTAGGTTTTGTAGGTTTTTCAGTGACCTATGTAGGTTTTAACTCCAGCCTTAAGTGTGACATTTGAAATCCATGAGGAGGGAGTAAAAGAAGAAAACATTTATGAGTTTCCTTTTCCTTTGATGTCTTTTATTTAATAGGAAAATGGCAGGCATTTTGTTGTTATTATTCCCTACTAATACTCTATTTTAAAGAAAGTAAAAGGAGATGACTGTGAAAGGCAATAATCAATAACTGCTTTTCAGTAAGGTTTTACCTCTGCAGCTCCAGAGAGCATCTTCACAATGACCTAGATTGATTTTACAGTTCAGATGCACATGCTGACAGCCTGACCAGCAAAGAACATGAGAAAGACCCCTGCAGGTAAGACAGGACTGAGAGAAACAGGCTGAAATGTCAGGCTGTTGATCACAAACAGGAATTTAAAGTGAGTGAAACTCCTCCAGCACAGTGAATCATCCCAGAGTCACACAACCTGGGTTGGAAGGACCTTAAAGCCCATCCACACTGGGACACATCCCAGGCTGCTCCAAGCCCTGTCCAGCCTGGCCTTGGACACTCCCAGGGATGGAGCAGCCACAGCTGCTCTGGGCAACCTCTGCCAGGGCATCCCCACCCTGCCAGGGAACAAGTACAGGAACAGTGCAGTGGTAGCAGTGCAGAAAAATAAACAGGCAAAGCATTCATGGAGACACACTACAAAAGTGAGAGGCAGCTCGTGAGCACAGCACCAGCCAGGGGTTTAAAGAGCCCCACCTGAATTCTCAGATACAGCCAAGCTGAAGAATTGCCTTTTCCTGAGTACATTTTGAAGATGACTAACATGGAGCAATCTCTGTGGAACTGAGAATTTACACTCGTGTTGTGATGCATTTGCCTAATAACAGCTCGTGCTACCACACTGGGGTGCAGGGACAAAGACAATTCTGATGAAAATTTCTCATTTCTCCTGAGGCCAGCATGTTGTTTTTTTTCTTTCAGCCCACAAAGAAAACCATGAAAAATAAAAATGACATTCCAGAGTGTTCCTACAGGCAAACCAGAACCTTTTGCTCCCCCATCACATTTAACCCCATTAGTAGTAAGATGAGAAGGAAAGTCTTGAGGCAATAAAACAAAGCCCAATTCAGAGTACCCTGTGTGCTCAGTGCACATGATTCACTGAGCTGAGTGTTCTGAGAGGACTCAGTGCAGCAATCCACTTCTAGGTGAGCTCATCTGCTGCACTAAAAAACATCTCCAAGCTGTTAAAACAATACAAGAGTTGGGGACTACCAAGTGCTGAAGGGTTAAGTCCAAGAGAAGCATTTATAGATATCAGAAGACAAAAGTTGCTGTGCTCAATTTATGGTAATATTCTGCAATAAATAAATGCAGTGCATGGCTAATTATGATTGATTTGGGGATAGCATGGCTGGGTACCGCGTGTGCATCAAAGAAAAGCATGAACCATGTTCTGTGCTCTTCACATGGATCACAGGAAGCACCAATGCACCTGAGGCTGCCACAGGGACAAGTGACAAAACCAGCAAGGACAAGCCAGCTCTGCATCCATCAGCTCAAGATGGTGGAACAGGACTTGCTGCTCCTGCCCCAGTGACCACTCTGACTCTCCCTGCCTCAGCACCCACCAGCCAAAGGCAGAGCATTCCCTGGTGCAGAACTACAGGGATCCTCTGAGCACAATTTCAAGGGAAAACCCTGTGGGGATGGAAACATCCTCAGCCTTCAGCTGTGCTTCATCCTTCCTTCAGTGCCTCTGAACACACCAGCTCCCCTCTCTGTCTCCAGGAAGCAGTCACAGGACTCTGATGTATTTTAGGAAGATTCTCTTGGAGGAGCAGCCAGGATGAGCTGCTCCACACTCATGCCTTCCCTCGACTGCAGGACAGAGGGATGCAGGAGATGAGGCAGGAGCCCCAGCACTGACACTGTGGGGAAGGAGCTCTGCAACTCAGACCAGCCTGGAAGTGACCTGAGGTGCTGCTTCTCTAGGAGAGATGGGTGCTTTAAGGATGCTGGTACACAAATCCCATGCCATGAAGGGCCCAGGCAGGAGGATCAATGTCCCACAGTGACCTACAAAACTCCAAGTGTGCTCACTTCCCATCTACATGTAGATTGAGGAAGATTCCCCGTCTGCTCCCATTATTTTTGCTCAGTTACAGCTTTCTTGCTCTTTTTTCTTAATTAAAAATAGCATCTCTGACCCACTTTTTGACAGACTTTAGCAGGGCTTGCATCCCACCATCTGCTCTCACAGTTCCTTGCATAACTGGTACATGGAAATGGATCCTTCCTTCCTCCTTTACCTTCTCCTCCTCCTCCTCCCTACACTCCATCATTATTTGGGTAAAGCTGCTCCATTGTTCCTGCCAAAATTAGTGCCCTACTGCCTCCCTCAGCTTGGGAAAGGAACTAAAACAGGGCAAACAAATAATTCAATTATCAATACTGTTGATTAACAAGGGGGAAAACCCATTTCACACAATAAATTCTGAAGTCACGTTTACTTTGGAGAGAAAAATGCCCAAATTTCCTAGTACCTCTACAACTGGAGAGAAAAAACCTGAATTAAACAATTAAATGTCAAACATGGGGACATTTTTAATGTACTTTTCCAGGTTTTGTGGTAATGCATCACCAGGATAATGTCACTACATGAGGGGAGCATCAAAGCCATGTGTGATATGGGAGACAAACTGCTCTCCAAGAAAGCATAAAAGAGAAACTTTGTACTTAATTACTTGGCTAATTAAACCAGGCTAATTAGCTGGCTTAATTTAATAGCCTGAGTATAAAATTTAAGTCAAGTTTACATCTCCTTCCAAAAGAAACAATTACAGCCTCTGCTGAAGTTACCCAACTCACCAGCAGGAGTTCTGATGACAGATTTGTCTGGCCTAATCCCAGTGTCTTTATTTTTCACATCAATCCATTTTCCCATGGCATCAATCCATTTTCCTATGGCAGCTCTTTCCACAGCTTCAGGATCCACTGCTTCAAACTCCTCCTCTGCAAGGAAAAAAAGGCAACTTTGAGCACACATTGTGAGGAAAGCAAAGTGGGAGGCAAATAATCCTCCACTTGAATGTGCCAGTTCTCCCTGGTAGGGAGGAGAAACTCTGAGCCACAGCAATACTGATGAGGCCACAGATTTCAGCTTTTGCTTTGTCCCTCCTCTGCTGCAGCTTTAAGGTCCTACCCAGCCCTCTTCAGTATTTCAAATCATGGATCTATTTGTTTTATGGCCCAGCTACTTTTCATACATGGTAAAAAAAAGCTTGGAGAATTATTTTTTAAGATGCCAACAGAATTTCAGCATCACAAGATCATTAAGGAAGGATTTCCATGGCCAAGTCCTTCCCATGGAGCTGTCTGAAGCATGGATCTGGTGGGCACTTTGCACAGCAAGGACACTGCACGCAGTTTTCACATGTTTATTTTTTCTGATTCCAGTTCCCACTGCACTGGCTGAAGCTGTGGAAGGCAGGCCTCAAGCAGGGACAGCTCTGCATACCTGCAGCACTTTGGCCTGCCAGTGATGATGAGCTTTCCAAAGCCTCTGACACAGCTGCCCCCTCCAAATCCTCTGTGGAACACCAGGATCCAGGTGCTTCACTCTCCTCCCCCTCCTCACTGAAGGACTCAAAGGTGTCTCCTGAATAGTCCAAGGCAGAGCTGCTGTGACTCTGGCTCAGCCCCAGCCCCTTCCCGTGGCTCCTGGAGCTCTCTGCTGGGGCAGCTGCCATGGGACAGCACTGCAAATCAAAACAAAAACAAGGTCCGTTTCACAGGATTACTCACAGCAGCATGGCAGGTACTTTGGGATGTTACAGCCACATCACACCAGATTTAACCAACAAAACAGTGGGTAAAATCACCACTCAGTCGTGACCAAGCCAAAGCAGAGATTAGAGCAGCACACACTCAGATCCTCGGGGTAAATGTACAGTACCAACTAGCACTGAACATTAGCTGTGAAATCTGAGCAGCATTCTTTGCAAATGTGTAGTGGATTAGAGTAATGCTTGGATAAAATTCTTCATTAAAAAAATTAAATGCAAATTCCCCCCTTTCTAGCATCTAAAAGGAACTTACAGGAAAGAAAAGGTAAGACTATTTACAGGTAGGTAAAACTATTTAATAGCAGGTAGTGTTGAAAAAAGGGAGAATGAGTTGAAATGGAAAGAGAGTTTGGTTAGATGAGATAGTGGGGAAAAACCTTCACCATCCCAGGCTGCTCCAGCCCCAGTGTCCAGCCTGGCCTTGGGCACTGCCAGGGATCCAGGGGCAGCCACAGCTGCTCTGGGCACCCTGTGCCAGGGCCTGCCCACCCTCCCAGGGAACAATTCCTAATTCCCAATATCCCATCCAGCCCTGCCCCCTGGCAGTGGGAGCCATTCCCTGTGTCCTGTCCCTCCATGCCTTGTCCCCAGTCCCTCTCCAGCTCTCCTGGAGCCCCTTCAGGCCCTGGCAGGGCTCTGAGCTCTCCCTGGAGCCTTCCCTTCCCCAGGTGAGCCCCCCCAGCTCTCCCAGCCCTGCAGCAGCTCCGTGCCCGGCAACTCCCCCAGCCAGGGCCGTGCCCGCCCCTCACGGCCTCCGGGAGCTGCTCTGCCCTTCCCTCGCTGCTCTGGGCCCTCAGGGACGGGCTCTAAAAGCTGCCTTTTCCTCCCCGGGCCTCCGGATCTCGCTCCTCACCCCGGCCCGGCTCCCCCAGGCGGGAAGGGGCGGCCCCGGGCGCTGAGGGCGGAGCGGGGCGGGGAGCGCAGCCGGGCCGGCCGCGGCTGAGGCGGAAAATCCGGCCCCGAAATAGCCCCGGGTGCGTGGGGCTGGGCTTGTGCTGCTATCCTATCCCGGCTGAGCCCCACAGCGAGTCCCCCTGCGGCTGGAGAGGGCTCTGGGGAGCTGGAGCGTGTGCCGCGGGTTGCTCTGAGGGAGAGAGCCGGGCTGGGGAGCTGGGAGTGTTCAATCCACACGGGGATCCACACATTGCGGGGCTGGGGATCTGAATTCCCACCAGGATCCACACATTGCCGGGCTGGGGGAGCTGGAGTGTTCAATCCACACGGGGATGCACACATTGCGGGGCTGGGGATCTGAATTCCCACCAGGATCCACACATTGCCGGGCTGGGGGAGCTGGAGTGTTCAGTCCACACATTGCAGGGCTGGGGGAGCTGGGATTGTTCGATCCCCACAGGGATCCACACATGGCAGGGCTGGGGGAGCTGGAGTGTTCAGTCCACACATTGCAGGGCTGGGGATCTGAATTCCCACCAGGATCCACACATGGCAGGCCTGGGGGAGCTGGGAGTGTTCAATCCCCAGGGGGATCCACACATTGCAGGGCTGGGGATCTGAATTCCCACCAGGATCCACACATTGCCGGGCTGGGGGAGCTGGAGTGTTCAGTCCACACATTGCAGGGCTGGGGGAGCTGGGATTGTTCGATCCCCACAGGGATCCACACATGGCAGGGCTGGGGGAGCTGGAAGTGTTCAATCCCCGCCAGGATCCACACATTGCAGGGCTGGGGATCTGAATTCCCACCAGGATCCACACATTGCAGGGCGGGGGCAGCTGGGAGTGTTCATTCCCCACAGGGATCTGCACGTTGCAGGCTGGGGGAGCTGGGCTGTTCAATCCCCACCAGGATCCACACATTGCCGGGCTGGGGCGCTGAATTCCCACCAGGATCCACACATTGCAGGGTTCTGGGAGTTGGGGTGTTCAATCCCCTCGGGGATCCACACATTGCTGGGCTGTGGGAGCTGGAGTGTTCAATCCACGCGGAGGAGTGTTCAATCCACACATTGCAGGGCTGTGGGAGCTGGGCTGTTCATTCCCCACAGGGATCCACACATTGCAGGGCTGTGGGAGCTGGGAGTGTTCAATCCCCACCAGGATCCCCACATTGCAGGGCTCTGGGAGTTGGGGTGTTCAATCCTCACCAGGATCCCCACATTGCAGGGCTGTGGAAGCTGGGCTGTTCAATCCCCACATTGCAGGGCTGGGGGAGCTGAGCTGTTCAATCCCCACATTGCAGGGCTGGGGGAGCTGAGCTGTTCAATCCCCACATTGCAGGGCTGGGGGAGCTGGGAGTGTTCAATCCACACGGGGATCCACACATTGCAGGGCTCTGGGAGTTGGGGTGTTCAATCCCCTCGGGGATCCACACATTGCACAAACACCGAGGGAGGCTGCCCGCAGCTGTGACAGCGGCTGCTGTCAGAAACACCACCCAGCTCCAGCTCTGCTTCGCCACAAGGACACAAAAGCCAAGAGAAACACTCGGGGGTTTTAAATGACTTCTTTTTTATCTTTAGGATAGTGTATTACACCCAAGAGGATGAACGCAGATGGCCTTGGATGTGACACTTCATGGAAATAAGGTGCAAAAAGTATTCCAGGGCATAAAATCTCCCCATGTTTTCAGGTACAATTTCCATAGGTTATATCATGATAAAAACAACTCTTCTGTATTCTAGGATCTTGCTTTAAAATTGCTATTTCAGGTTAGCTAATACCACTTTCTGTTTTGTTTTGGGGTGTCTTTTTGGTTTTTGGGTTTTTTTTTGTTTGTTGTTTTTTTGGGGACTTTTTTAAACTCTGGAAATTATGAAGGGTTTTGGAGTGTTTTTTGGTTCTTGTTGTTGTTTGTTTGGCTTTTTGGTTGGTTGCTTTGTTTTTGGGGGTTTTTTTGGGTTTTTTTTTCAGTGAAGTCTTTTTTGGCAAGAAGAGCTGATTCTCCAGTCCTGGGATGCAGAGTGTGTTGTCTGTCACTGGGGTTTTATCCTCATGCTGATTTTGGACTGCCTGGCCAAAGGACAAGAGATTTTGTCTTCTCTCACATGTGATGAAGTGCAGCAAGAGTGATCTTGTGTCTCTTGGAACAGAGAACTCTGTGCTGATCTCTACATTTAATATAAAGAAGGATTGGGCAGCGTGAGATGGATGCAGGAGAGTAATAAATGCATTGATGCAGTGGGCTCTAAAGCAGAGTGCAATAAACACCTCTGCCTACACATTGTTCAAGTTTTAACATTCACCTGCTTGCTGAGTGGGCTGCCTGGGGCTGGCCCTTTTCTTCTACTTTGCTGCAAGAAATTAAAATCATTTAAGTGGGGTAAACATTTCTTGTACCCCTTCTGCCCATCCAGACGAGAGCAGTGATCAGAGGGGTGTGGGAGTGGAAGGGCTCTGCCAGCTCAGTGCCAGGAGCTCGTGGAGGCAGGCATCTGGAATTCTGGAATTCTGGCCAGTTTGGATCAGCCAGACCTGCCTTGTGTCCTAAGGGTCAGCCCAGAGGTTCACTTGCATTGGCTGCTCTGAGGTGTTTTCCTTCTCAGGAAGAAAACGTGGCAGCCAGGCTGAGGGAGGTCAGGATCTGGAAGGATCTAGAAAATAAAGTGAGATTTCACGCTCTGGGTTAAAAACCTTGGGGAAACAGGGCTGGGAGAAACATTTCCTTTTCTTTAAAAATCTAATCAGCATGCACAGAGAATAACACAGAATAACTGAGAATAACCCAGATCCCCACAGCTCCCACTAAATGCTTTGATTATTTATCATTGCCCCTTTTTTATGAAAACAGTTGACATTAGATTATTAGTGACCTGGGTGGTATTTGATTTTTTTTCCCCCTGGAGGTTAAAGACTTTGTAGTTTCCTGTTCTAGGTCCTTTTTAAAATTCGTTTTAGAGCATGAAAAATATATTGTTCCATCAAGTTTATTTCTCTGACATTTATTCAGTGCAGAGTGTGATCCTAATATTAAAGGTTTTTGATTTGAAGCCCAGGATACAGACAAAGCTTTTCGGTGGTCTTCCCTAAAACAGGACATTTCATCACTGCCTGGGAAGTTATTATGTTGGAACAGCATAATTATTTGAAGGAGTATTTGTTTTTCAGGGATTTGTGGGTGATATTAGATGGCTCAGCCCAGTTGTGTCACAAGGTATTAAGGTTTCTGCCTGCTGAAGCCATGGAGCTGGGCCTATATAGAGCCATAAATAATATTGTGGGAGAGCCAGTGACAGACTTTGACTCCAGCTCAACTCTTTATTACTTGTTATATTAAATTTAAACACAATTGTTGAATTCCTTGCTGTGGGCAAATGCTTTTTGATGTCTCCTTCTATTAAAGTTGTAATATCCCTTTTAGCCCGTGAAACTCACTCTTGCAGGTGTGTTTCTCAAATAATCAGCCTCTCATTAATGATGCCAGCAGAATTAATTGGGCTGTCACCACGAGGTTGGGTATCCAGCTGGGAATTATGGGGTGAGGCCAGGAATTAGGCACATTTTGACTGTGGGGAAAGTTCATGGGGCTCAATAATGAGATGCTCATGGGCATTACTCTGCAGGAAAGGGCAGTTTCAGGCTGGAACATTTTTTAAACTCTGGAAATAAGAAGGACAAATGCAAGATCTCTTAGGAAATTTGAAAGCATTTGTTGACAATTTAAGATACAGTCAAGGTTCTCCTCTTTATCAGCACAGAAAGCACTGCCAAGGAGCCCCCAGACACCATAAATCATCCAGGAGAGTGCAGAGGCTGAGAAGATTACAAAGGAAAGGCTCTGGGGCAGGCAGCACCCTGAGAAGTCATTGTTCAGGGCCTGCTGTATTTAAAATGGTCATTTCAGCTGCCATTAACTCCCTCCCTAATTAGAAAATGGATTGATCTTTGCTGAAAGTTGCTGGAGACTGGCAGGTGTCCCTGGCAGATCAGAGCTCTGCATACAAATGAGATGGAGAACGTGTCCTCTGAGTTTCAGACAGGGAAAAAAAGAAAATCCATATTTGTAGGCAGCTGCTGTTAATTATGCTTTGGGATTGGTGTAGGAAACAACACTCCAGTCAGCCTGGCCATGCTCTGCCTTCCTGGTTTTCCTTGTGCTTTCAGCTGGAGAAATATCCTTCCTCACCCTCTCCTAAGGAGGTGGGGAAGAGCAAATTTTATTTTCCTCCTTTGTGCCTGCACACTGCAGATTTCCTCGTGAGTCCTCTCTTCTTACAGGAGCAAGAATTTCCATAACCCAGTGGGAAAACATCTGAAAATGCAATAAAGTTCCACGAGGCAGCATTATCAAATCTCCATTCACAGGGATGGATATCCATGTGTATGGAAACATCCAGGTCCTCACTGGACACTGAATTTCTAAATCCCATCTTCCTCAACAACCTTAATTTTTTTGGTGTCTGAATAAATCAGTGCTGCTTCACAGCAGCAGCTGGAAACCCCCAGAGCCTGCTGCTGCCAGGGACACCCAGAGGTTGGTTTCTAGCCCAGTTTGTCTGCAGGTTTGCATCAGTTCTTTTTACAGAA